TCATAGCGACCCCTCCTTGGGTTTCCGAGGCAGTATCACTACGGAAGTAGGATTGCCCAACCTTCCTTCCGAGGAGTGGCTGGTGGGTTTAAACCACCATTTAAACTGTTTAGGAATATCAAATTTTCTTTATGAAAGCAGTAGCGTAAAACTTAATGTTTTTTCTATTCCAATGATTTCTTGAATTAACTAGGCAGTTGCTACCTTCAGTATTACTTACAGAGCAGTTTAAAGTATTGAAGAAATTCTTATCCAATTGAAATAATTTGGATTATTCTAAATTCATTATTCATTTAAAGTTTGTGAAGATTTTCACCACAAGGCTTTCTGGTTCCTTTTTATTTGTCTTTCCCTAAGATTGGCAACATCAATCCAAGAGATGATATGAAAACCAAATAGTTAAATGAAATAGATTTCTTCCTGTTTCCCGACTCACTCTGAGTTGTGCTGCAGCCCAAATAGCAATTTTTTTCAATATCTATGGCATGTGGCCCAATCACTATCCACTTGACTGCTTAATCAGACTCCATTTACAATTCTTTTTAGCTTTAACATTTAAAACTCTTGTAGTGAAGTGTGCTTCTCAGAACATCCTTCACATTTTTAATGAGTTATTCTTCCTAGCAGTATTTTAAAAAATCCTGAATATGAACGCTGGCAGATCTATTTAAAAAAATAATCATAAATATGCATGAAAGAGAACATTACTCTTAGCCATCTAAAACATGCATTCAATTCTTTCATTTTTTTTTTATCTGTCTACACAGAAGCATCCCTACCGTTCTCCTTGTAGCCCATTCCCAGAATGACCTCGGGGGCTCTATAATAACGTGTCACCACATAAGGAGTCATCATGAAGCTTGTGCCTGCTGTCCTGGCTAATCCAAAGTCAAGGATTTTCAATGTGCAATCAGACTTGACTACAATGTTACTTGGTTTTAAATCCTGGTGATAGGAACAAGACAAGAAATTAAAAGCCATCATCAAATTGAATATACGATTTCCATCTACTGAATAAAACTGGCAAGATGATCAGTCTTAAAATCACACTGATGGTATGTTCCTTGCCTGCAAAGCACTACTTAAGGCAAATTATTACCGTCCCAAATAGTTTACAATTTGTTTTTGTAATAATTTTTAAAAAATATCATCAGGAACTGTTTTTAAATCCAGAAGAAAACTCTACTATCACTTTCACAATTTAAACTCATCCTGAGAAGTTTTAGGAGGGGAAAATACATACATATATATGTTGTTGTTGTGTGTCGTCAAGTAGGACCTGACTCATAGTGACTCTTAATTGGATTTCCAAGGCGGTATCACTATGGAAGTAGACTGCCCAACTTTCCTTCTGAGGGGTGGAGGGGTGGCTGGTGGGTTTGAACCGCCAGCCTTCTGGTTAGTAGCCAAGTGCCTTAGGCACTATGCTACCAGAGCTCCTAAATATATATATATATATATACATGTGTGTGTGTGTGTGTGTGTATATAAATTTATTGTTATCCTTTAGTTTTCTTCTAATGGAAATTTAAGTGTTTCTGCTTATATTTCATTTCTAGACCTGACAGAAGAGCAGATCTGTCTTTATGCTGCCAGAAATAATAGCAGAAATGAGCTGTCTTATTTCATCTGCATATGACCTCTGTCAATCAAAAGGCTAGCAAAGCAAGAGATTTTTCAGAAGCTGACATTCAATCTCTCAATGAGCTGAAAAATAACATTAAAGAAAATGAACTCTGGTATAGCTAGAATTTTCCTCTACACAATAGTGAACTATGTACTAATGCTATTGTCAAAGAAATAAGGAAGTACATCATATTTAACCAAGCTCTCCTACCTACATACATGTATCTATCTATCTGTCTGTCTGTCTATCTATCTATCTGTCTATCATCTATCTATTTATATACAGTTGCCTTTTCTTTTCTCCAAAAGCATTATAATCATAATTCTGTAGTAGATGTTCTTACCCTGTGAATAATTCCAGCAGAGTGAAGGTGCTTGATGCCACACAACATTTGGTATAGTAAGTAAGACATTCGCTCATGGTCTAATTCCATCTGAATCACCTGGCACAAGTTGGCATCCATCAATTCCATTACTAAGTAGCTAAAAGATAAATTCACAGTGTTAGTTCCAGATCACAAAATCTGTGAAGTGCTTTAGTCAAATCAGAAAACAAACAAACAAAAACCAAATATTCTCACATAGTTGATTCCGATTCATGGTAACCCTATGAGTTACAGAATAGACCTGCCCCAAAAGGTTTTCTTGCCCGTAATCTTTACAGAAGCATATTCCTAGGCTTTTCTTCCACAGCATCACTTGGCGGGTTCAAACTTCAAACCTTTAGGTTAGTACTCAGATGCAATCTGCTTGCACCACCAAATCTGTATGGAAGTCTTCTGAACCTCCCAGCTCCACCTTTGACTGAATGAAGGATTTGAAAAATTTCTAGATAGTGCCTGAGTATTAGCTACTAGTAACAATCTACAAGGTTGCCAAGTAGAAGCAGAATTTATTAGTGTCTGGTTAATTTCCATATAAGGGACCCTGGTGGCACAGTGGTTAAGCGCTTGGCTGCTTACTCACCAGTTGCTCCATGGGAGAAAGATGTGGCACTGTGCTTCCATAAAAATTACAGCCTTGGGAAGTCTAAGGGACAGTTTTATTCTGTCCTATAGGATTGTTATGAGTTGGAATCTACTTGATGGCACAAAGTTTTATTGTTCATATGTTTTCCGCCTACATCTTGCTCTCATTTTTCATTCTATTTCCTCACTTTTTCCCAGTATTATGATTACAAATAAGAAAAAAAATATCAGAGTAGTATCTTCCATTAAATTCAGTGATATCTTTGTTAAAAACAATGTAGTGGAGAATCACTTTCTCTCCTCTGCATATTCTTACTATATTTCTAGGTAGATTCTTTTTTATAAATTTAAAGTCATTCCAAAACAGAAGTAAAAATGATTTTTATCATGTCTAATTTGTTAATATTCCTCAAAGTAATTGACTCTTTGTAGAAAGCGAATGAAATCAAAATAATAAGAATAATCATAAGAAGAAGTAATGTTTTCCCTGATTGAACCAAGAACATGTAACAACAAAGTACAGAGAGCCCTAATGTCAGAAAGAGGCAGAAGTATCCCTTCAGCAAGTCTCATCACAGGTAGAACTTCCTCTATGTATCACTGATCTACCTATCTCTATCTAACTCTATCACTCAGCTCATATCTCCCTTTTATCTCTACAGGGGTTTCTCCTATTTGTCTTTTTAAAATTTCCCTTGTACTGTTGAGTACTATATTCTCCCCTGCTTCTTCAGTTTCATTACTTACACATCTTGGAACTCCTCCAGTGTCTTCTGTGGTGTGAAAACATTTAATAAACTAATAATCTGAAAGAGACAAGTAAAAGGGAGGGAAGAAAGAGAGAATGAATTAGTTAAAAATATATTGAATAAGAATTTATTCTAACTCAAACTTATACACTGTGTGCTCATGGAAATAGAAAAGAAATTAAAAAAAAAAAATCAAAAAGTCTGTCTCATGCCATAATCATAAACAAACTCAAGTTGGATCAAAGACCTGAGCATAAAAGTATAAAGATTATCAAAGAAAAAATATGGACAAACTAAAACGAAACAAAACAAAACTCATTCCCATCAAGTAGATCCCAACTCATAGTGACTTCCTTTAACTTTCCGAGACAGTAAATCTTCATGGAAGTAGGTTGCCCACTCTTCCTTCAGTGGGGTGGCTGGTGGGTTTGATCCACCAGCCTTCTGGTTAGCAGTCAAATGCTGTAAGTTCCATGCCACCAGAGCTCCATAGGACAAACTTGTTGTTGTTGTTATGTGCCATCGAGTCGGCCCCAACTCATAGCAACCCCTCTTTGAACATCCGAGGCAGTATCACTATGGAAGTATATTGCCCCATCTTCCTTCCAAGGAGTAGCTGGTGGGTTTGAACCGTCAAACTTTGGGGACCCTAATACATGGCATAAATATACTATTGAACATAGCTAAAAATGCACATCATAATACAAACTAAATGACTAGGTCTTCCTGAAAATTAGACTTTTCAGTGCATCAAAAGATTTCACCGAGAGTGAAAAGAGAACCCACAGACTAAGAAAAATTTTAGCAATGATGTATCAGAGAAGAGGGTAAGCTCTAAAATTTATAGGAATTTCAACATCTTAACAACTAAGAGAACAATAATCTAATTAAAAAATGATTAGAGGACATGAACAGATATTTCACCAATGAAGACATTCAGGCAGCTAACAAACATGAAGAAATGCTTGCAATCATTAGCCATTAGAAATAACTCCCTGCCGTCAAGTTGATTTTGACTCATAGCGACCCCTCGTTGGGTTTCCCAGGCAGTATCACTATGGAAGTAGATTGCCCAGTCCTCCTCCCACAGAGTGGCTGGTGAGTTTGAACGGCCAGCTTTCTGGTTAGTAGTCAAATGCCTTAGGCACTATGCCACCAGAGCCATTAGCGATATGCAAATCAAAACAATGAGATATGATCTCACCACAGCACTAATAGCAAAGTTCAAGAAAACAGAACACAGCAAATGCTGATTAGGGTGTAGAGAGATTGGATCTCTCATATACTGCTGGTGGAACTTTAAAATGGTATCACCACTGCAGAAAAATGGTATGGCACTTCCCTTAAAAGCTGGGAATAGAAATACCATATGATCCAGCAATACCACTACTGAGTATATATTCTAAAGAAATAAAAGCTGTGACATGAACAGATATATGCACACCCATGTTCACTGCAACACTATTCACAGTAGTAAAAAGATGGAAACAACCTAAATACCCATTAATGGATGAATAGTTAAACGAACTATGATACATACACAAAATGGAATATCATGCAACATCAAAGAACAGTGAATCTGTGGAACATCTCATAATATGGAGGGGGCTAGAGGACATTATGCTGAGTGAAATTAGACAATCACAAAAGGACAAATATTGTGTGAGACTACTATTGTAAAAAGTCAAGAAAAAGGTTGTTGTTGTTGTTGTTGTTTGCCGTCGAGTCGGCCCCAACTCATAGCGACCCCTCCTTGGGTTTC